AGAAAAAGGCAAAGTGAAAGCTCCAGCTGCCCACACAGACAGCGAGCTACAAACACCAGAGCTACAGTCACCGCTGTAAAGCGCTGGAGTAAAAATGTGGGACAGTTCTAAGATGATATTTCTGAGTGATAGCCCAGAATTACCATAACTAGTTCGCCTCACAAAATTAACAAAATAACCAGAATGTGTGGATGTGTTGTTGCAGATGTGCAGTACACATCTTATTTGTTCACAGTCTTCTTCCTGCATCCCAAGGAGACAGTGACAACCTTACGGGTTGGTTTACAATCTCTTTATGGAGGTGCAGGAAAAAAAGGTTACGCCCATCGCTCTGTAAATGGTTGCTACTCCATCCTTTCATTTCCATAACAAGCCATCAGAACTCATCTCCCACTGAAGTGGCCACAGTCCCACTGGCAATTAAAATCATGCTGGGACATGCCATGGTTATGTGTTACTCGGCTGTTGCAGACAAAAGCGGTGGCAGTGGCAGCGGTAACAACGACAACAGTTGAGTGGTAAATCTCGAGCGATGTCGGTGGAATCGTCGCTTTGATTTCTCCAGGAAACTAAGAGCAGGCCTCGTTTACATGTTTCTGTATGAAACTTCCTGCAAGATATCAAACGGGGAAACAGTATCATCTCATCTCTGTCTGCTTTACCAATTTCTAGGATATACACAGCCACAATACTAAGAAGGCATGTAGGGTGGACATTTTTTTTTAGATTAGTAAAAAAAAAAAAAAGCCGGACCCCGTCCACACGAAGACGAAACGGGTTGTATCCGCTACAGTTCTCTATCGTATAGACGGTTCGTCCACACGAGGCCGACACGGAAACGTGGATACCGATAACGGCTCCCAAGGTGGGTAGATCTGCGGACGAAACGCTCTGGGGGGGCCAAACGGCTCCGTGTGTACGCCCTACACGATTATTTCCTGATAACGATGACGCCATAGTCCCGCCTCTCCCCACCTCTGCTGCTCACCCCCGCGTCACCCGCGTCATTGCTGATGTGTTTCGCCAACAACAACAACAATGGCGGATCACAGGGTTGCTTTCGTTTTCCAGACGCTACTGACCACAGATGTTAGTGCAAAATCTACAGCTCCTCTACCACAACCATCAGCAACAAGTGGAAAAGGAGAACTACATGAACTACATGCTAAATCCACCGCGGAGAATAAACAGAAGGGCAACCAGGCAACCATGGCAACCATGCTCGGGGGGTCTTATTCGCTGCTTTTGGTGTATTTTGTGGCAGAAGTACAGCGCCACTTACAGGCCCGGCATATGTACTACAGCGTTTCCAGTGGGTCGAGCGGTCTCGTGTGGACGGACACGTTTCTTGAGCCGATTCAGTGTAGACGGAAGACTTTTTTGATATCGAATTCGGTTCGTTTTCGTCTCCGTGTGGACGGGGTCTCAGACACAGGTGTAAAAACGTGCAATATTTTGATGTGAATCGGAGTCTTGCTGGAAAGGATAGGTTAAAGTGTTAACTTCTGACTTATGAGGGATCATATTAGCTTAAGCTTTTTTTTTTTTTTACACAGAATTGGGACTTTTGATATCGTCTCTCATTTCTTACTGCGAGCCATGAAGGGTTCCCTTAACGGACAGTATGGACAGATATTATTGCAGTGACCAAAATAATTGCAGAAATCCTTAAACATAGGAATGAGTTAGCATTTTTGACAATGGGGGCTTTGAATGTTTATTTGTTAGATGCCTGAAATAATCAGACATTTTTCTGATCACTGATTAGTTGATTAATTTCTAATGCAAAAATACTAGAAAATCCTATTTTCAGTCTATCAAATAAGGGGATTTATTACTTACCTCTGTTTTATATCCAATAAAAGGGAATATCATTGGGTTTTGGAATGACTAGAAATTTAAAGAAATTGGACTTACTTGGAAAATATAGAAATGTACATCCAAGATTCTCAGAGATGTTATAGCCCATTAAACAGTTATTCTAGGAAATAATCAGCAGATTAAATGATAATGAAAACAATTATATAATTGTAGCCGTTGTGAAACTTAAAGTTGAGTCGCTGAAACATTTATGTTGAAATGCTGGAATTCTAAAGCTACTTTTAGCCGCCTATCTTATAATGCCATGGCTCCCCCAGCCCGGCTGAATGGCAGGGAGGATATAAGGCATCAATTAATGTGCATAAAACACCTTGCATCACATCATCATTGTGTAATCCTTTCTTTCTCATCTGTCAATCATCAATAGAAAAACGTAATCCCTGAATATCCGTGGACTAGTCCGCACTGATACCTTTGACACAAAGAGTAAGCACAGCCTCCATTTCTAATACAAAACGTTCACTTTGAAGTCTTAAGATAAGCGTTAGATGTGTGACATTATTCATTAGTAATGTGTGTCAGTTTGCATTTCTTTTGCACCTGTTTTTCTATTTGACCAGGGCTTTGGTTTTCTCCCCCGGTACAATACCCTATTCTAGTGCAGATGCTCACACCAAACTACTCAAAATGTATTCTTAACTGCAAGGGCAATTATATAATAATAATAATCACATTGTGACCAATTTGTCCGACAATGACATATTTATGTATAATCATGACCTACAATTCTGGTATAATACTGGCATTTAAAAACAGAAATGTTTTACTTACTGCAGAATTGTACCAAGTACCAATACAAATCCTCAAGCAAGTCGACTTTGCAATAGGTAAAATCAGATTTAAATTAAAGGATTGCGAGGCTGTCAGTTATTCCCTAATGATTATTTGTTGCCCAGCGCATTCCCCGCTGTTTTTCTGACCCTCTCTTAACAATGGAAATGTCCATGTTTTGGGGCAGTGTGAGTTAGGCCTGCTGATTCAAGTTGTTTTTCCTGTGATCCTGTCATCCCAGTGCTAACACCTTCAGTTGTTTACAGTGAAATGTCCTCTGTGTTCACCTTCACTTCCTGTCTGTTTTCAGCATTACTCTACGTGCTGTACATACTGTATAGTTTTACCATACTGCAGCATTCAGCAGCGCGAGGTCACTGGCAGGGTTACTTGCGAGGTCATTGTTAGCCGTGAGAAAATTAACGCTGATTGGTCTCGTCACAATTTGCTCCCTGAAGCCCGTGCCACTGAGGCACCTGCCAAGCAGAGCTTCTTTAAATGAGAACGGAGCCTATTCAACAGCTGCATAGGCAGCCAGGCGGGCAGACAGTGTAGGGGAGAGAGGGACAAAAGAAAGCAAAATGCAAAAACAGAGAAGACTTTCTAAATGGGAAACTCTGGGACTTCTTTTAAAAGGTCTTAAATCAATTTAACATAAAGTACAAACCCATGCAATGTTAATCTATTCGGTTTAATCACATTGCTTTTAGATCCTTTATAATCCACATTCAATACAACCATTTTTCTTCTCTAACAAGCTTGCCCTATAGCCATTTTATAAATCATTGGCACAGGGCTTTTGCAGTGCCACAAATTCTGTTATGGTGTCATTATTTCACCGAGTTATGAAACAGGCAAGGTGGAATGGCAAACATGTAGTACAACAGCACAAAAAGATTGCAATTCCCTCCCTGAGTCATAGCATACAGAAATGGTATAACAGTGTTTAAAAAAAGATTAACAATAACCGCGACAGCAAGAGGAGTTTGTGGTTCATTTAAAAATTGGAAGCATCAACCACCATCTGAGCTGTTTTATTGCACCTTCGACTTCTGTGAGCGAGACTCAAAAGGGAAGAAGTTAAAGTGATACACTTGGCGTGCAAGAACGCTGGTAGTTTCTCAACCATATGCCGATATCCTTAAGTCACCATGTGCTCTGGCTTTGAAAGCCTCCACTGCCAGTTCCTCATTTGAAACCTGACCAACTCTTTAACAATGCCTCTCTCTGATCCAGTGGGAAGGAGAAAATCTATTATCGATTTCCACCTGGTTTAGGTGGGAAAAGCCCTGATGGTGGTGTTGAATAGCGCTACACTGTACCGTGCATTCACACTAAAGCTGGGGGATGGTGTGAGAGGGTATGTCAACAAAGCCCTTGACTACGACACAGAACCATCTGCACGCGCTGAATATTTAATAGTCAATAGAAATTGCTCGAGACCAGTAATCAAGAAAAGGAAAAAGAAAAGATAATAAGCATCATGAGGAGCTCATACATCAGTTCCTGCGTGATTTGAGTTTGGCTTGTCTTTTAAATCACCCATTGTTTCAATGCTAATTGTGACTATTTCTCGATGCATGCACCACAATTACAGATATTTCTTAATCACTTATGTCATTCAATCCTATTTAACTCCAAATACAAAAGAAAACAACTCAATAGACGTATAATTCCACCAGCAAATTAAATGCATCCCTGTCAGAGATGTCAACAATCATCTAAGAATAAAACTCTTCACTTTTTACAAAAACGTGCACCTTAAAAAAAAACTTTAACAACACAAGACGGGATGATATTATTTCTCCACGTCCTATTTTTCACACCTGCATAAAACTTCCAACAAATAGATAACTGCAGACATATATGAACCCACTTCCTGTCAGTTACAAGTTCCCCCATCAAACCGATAAGATGGTTTCACATTTATACTCGGTTGCATAAACACACAATGAGCCTGATTATACTATTGCAGCCTAAAATTGGCATTGAGCTATTTTCTAATAACACATTTAAAAATGGTGACATTTAAAAAAACCTATAATGAGGGATGAAATGCAAATATAAGCATAAAAGCACAGGAAAAAAATGATGTGTATATAAATCAGCATAACCTCAATCATGCTGAACGTTTCCTTTAAGTCTTATTTGTCCAACTTTAATTGCTTTGGTGAAACAGCACAGGCAAGGTGAGAACAATGGAGCCACACTAGGTATTTCTCGACAATAACAAACAGACAACCACCGCTTCTTTGTGTCTGCTGTGTGAGCACACAAAATTAGGTAAGCCGGTGACATGAGACATAATCATTTTCTTTGAGCGGGGTTAGTGACCAATTTATTCTTACCTTAGGCTGGGCGCGACGTGGAAAGGCAACCTTAGGATCAATCTGAGAAGGAGAAAGGAAATTGTTGTTAAAGGAAACGCTGGGTTTTTGGTGAAAAGCAATGAATAGGTGTTAAAAATATTTCTCAAACTGTAAGACCACAAAAGGCTCCCCAGAGTCCAAGCATTCATATTGTAAATCCTCTGTGGCCACGGATAAATACTAGGACTTTAAAAGCAGTAATACAGATTCAAAATGTATTCAAATTGTGATATTTTCAATTGACAATGTTAAGAATGTATCTAAGCCATTAAGATTAACAAAAGCTGCCTGTGGCGATAGAAACAGTCTGCTCTTGAATTCAATAAGCATTTTTTACACTAAATCTGCATTCAGGAGCTGTCAAAGTTATTGCAATTACAAATTAAGTGCACATAAATGGTCCAACAAAAGGATGATTAGAACATAGGAAGGATTTATTTTTTTCATAGCACAATGGCTCTCCTACATTGAAGCTGACTTTTGTTTAATCTGACCTTTAAATTTTCCCCCTCTGTCTGCCACTCTGGTTAAGGTTATAAGTTATTTTCACCGAGGAACGGCTGAGTCATGGTTATGTGTATCTTAATATGCTAATGCCCTTGTAGTCATGTTGCAGTCAAAAATATCAAATCTGACAACTACATGCCCTGATCATGTTTTTCTCCTGATCATTGATGAGCCACATTGTCTTAATCGGCAGATAAACGGCAATTGATGTTTTTTCGTAGCAGCTGGTATACAAGGCTCTTTACAAAATATATTCACCAATATCCCGAACAAACGTTAAAACTGTTCCTTAATCAGGGTAGACTGGAACAAATATTGATATCTATAGTGTGTAATGTGCTGTTTTGCTGAAGAACATACAATTGAAATGAGTATAAATAAACAATTATATTCCTATTAAAATGTTTGCAAAATTAAATGTCAAATTAAATGCATAATAATAAGAAGAGTAATAATAATACAAATTAAAAACATTGAATATATATTTGTAATAAAACTGTGAAAACAACCACTTTTAACAATAGAGAGGCGAAGTCCCGCCCATCTACTTCCGACTCATGGGACCTTATTTCGGAAAAATTATGTATTGAAGTCAATGGGGAGAAAACGTATCTTTCGATCCCGTTTGAATTGTGCCACGAATTACACATATGATGTTTGTCAATCTTAAAAAATAATTTCCATGTCAAAAAAGTCACTGTTTGTCGTAAAACTGTTGAAATATAAGACTATGCAAAATACGCAACTAGAAAGACTACAAATCCCAGAATCCCGGTCCCGCACGCTGGCTCTTACGAACCGACTAACTCCCCTTGTGTGTATGTACAGCTCTCAACATGCCCAGACTTGGAGTGATTTTCACCTCTTTTAATACTTTTCGCCTCATTCTGAAAGAAAGAAGTGAAATGTGCCAACGTGACGGCCGTCTTGGTGTGTGGTGCGAGACGGGAGATGTAGTTCATTGAGCGTTTTCACACAAAAAAAAGTGTTACTTCACAGTTTTACGACACATTTTTATTTTTTTGATTTGCAAAATTATCTTTTAAATTGACAAACATCATATGTGTAATTCGTGGCTCAATTCAAACGGGATCGAAAGATAATCTTTCTCTCGCCATTGACTTCAATACATCATTTTTCCGAAATAAGGTCCCATGGAGGTCCCCCGGAAAGGGAGGGACTTCGCCTCTCTATTGTATCTATTGTAAGTTTCTCACCAAAAAGTTGACATATGATCAATCATGATTTGTTTATTATTATTTAAATGTTGCTACATAAAGCTTCAAAAAAGCTCATTCACAATGCAGCATTGTAGCAGCCTATCAGTCATTCAATGAATCCCTACTATACAGCATCCGATAATTAGACAGATGCAGAGATTTGGCCCCATAACTGCTTTCACGCAGGTCAGCTTAGTTTTTCAGAATTTTCACTGAGCAATTAGGTTAAAACATGAGACTAACATCTCAAATGAATATCTTCAAGACTGACTAATGGAAGTGAAATGATGAGGATTTGAAAATATATCAAATATCCCCGACATTACTTTGATATTTTCTACTACCGATACAAATTTAAAAGGTATTTGGCGATGCACTATGGCAAAGCACATTTAAAAGACTGCTAATTACTGACTAATATTGGTGATACGACATCATTTTACGATGGTGTCAACTGATATAGTACATTAAAAAAACAACAACAGAAAAAGAAGAACAAGTTAGTGAGCAAGCCAGCCACACTATCGCTCTGCCGGTCATGGTCGCAGCTTCTATTTTAGGCAGGAATCGCTGATTGAATATGACAGGGAGAAAATGAGAGTCTGAGGCCTCTGACGCCTCCAGATATTGCCAAATAACCAGGAGGATGCGTCAGATCAGCCTGTTTCTCCATCTTATTCTTGTTATCTCATTAGCTACATTTCCCTCATTAATTTCACTGGTATGAAGGTATGTGGGGGGGGGGGGGGGGTCTCATCAACCTTTACAATGTAGAGGAACTATCTCATACAGCAATGTCTTCCTCAATTGTCTTTGCCTGGATACCAAAGAAATTGTAAGAGGAAAGATTTGCTTTTGTTTTTAACTGAAAATCCTTTTTTTATATCTTCTGCTACATATTAAACTCAAATCTACAATTAGTATACTAATTCTATGCATCCATAAAAGTTACTCCTTGAGCACAGATGGATATATTTATGAAAAAAGAAATCTCTTCCTGATGAGGAAAACAATGGAAATAGAACGAATTAAGAAACACAAGAACATAAAGACACCATCTGCACAGATCAATTAAGCCAATGAGACTGAGCACGTTTTAATGTGTTTGAAGGGAAACCATGATGTGCAATGTCATTGTCATCTTTTCTGTCAGTCTCAGTTATTACGGTAATCTTTTTAAATCAAGTCAAAATGAGAAATGGATTCAATAACACCTGGGTATGGCAACCCCTGCTTGTAATGAATTTAATTTAAAGATTTGTTTTAGCACTTAGCCCCAGGCATAACCAATTCAAACTCAATTATTCTGTGCGCCCTATTTGAGCAAAGACAACACATTATGCTTAGAATACCAAAGTCCTATATACACTTGGAAATATATCTGACTTTTTTTAAGCCTATACAAAACCTATTAAACCTCTTTTCAACATATTGTCTCAACTAATTGTTTTTCCTTCCTGCTGAGAATTTATTTTCACAACGAGGCTTTCCGATTCAAGAGAGCACTGAAACACAATGGAGGTCCTATAGTTTTCTGTCAGTTGCAAATACTACAACTATCAAAAAGAGGCAATTATATGCACTCAGGGCAATGCAACCAAATGAGGCAAAGAGGACTTACTAACCAATCCTTCTGAGAAATCTTGTAGCAGCACCTTTTTAGGTCACAACTTATGATGAATGACTCCTTTGAGAAATTTGAACAGGAGGAGAGGAGACGAAGCAATCGTTTCCCTTTGGTTTACATATTAATGTGAAAAATGTAAAAGTGCCATCATAACTAAGGCCAATAGCTCAAATATGCACTGCACTTTACTCTGAGGTGGAATAAGTACTCAGATGTTATACTTAAGTTAAAAGTAGTAAGATTGCAGTGTACAAATACTCTGTTACAAGTAAAAGTCCTGCATTTCAAAAATGACTTTAGTAAAAGTACAAAATATACTTAAGTACTAAATCTGAAAGTACTCATCCAAGTGGCCATCACATCACTGGATTATAATTAGTGATCCAGTAACGTGTTTTACATTTGGATTTTGGAGTCAAAATATTAACTAACTAATGTCCTGAAATAAATGTAGCAGAGTAAAAAGTACAGTATTTGCTTTCAAAATGTAGTAGAGTAGAACTACAATGTAGCATAAAAAGGAAATACTCAAGTAAAGTACATGTACTTTAAAAAAGAACAGTTCTTGAGTAAATGTACTTAGTTACTTTCCACCCCTGACTTTACTGTGTAACCAAACCTTTGAACCAGAGACTATGCTGTCCCGGTTTGACCCGATACTTCCTTCCTGAAACATTTTGGTTATGTAACTCACATACCATCAGGGTTTGGGATCAGTCAACCGGACCTGGGAACTTTCCACACAAGGTGCAAAATTTCCCTCAAGTCTGATTTCATTTATATCTTCAAAATGTTAGGTTGGTGTTTTTAATAAAAGCTATTAGTGATGTACTTTGCATGTTTTTGAGTATACTATTCTTCCCTTAATGTGTTAGGGGGGAGGGCACTCTCTTATCCTCACTGTGCTTTTGCTTTCAATGTTATTTTCCATCAGCTGAATGCAACAAGTTAAATCTGTGATTTGTTGAAATTGATTCTGGGAACAAATCACAAACTGATGTAGAAGTAAAAAGGTGTTTTTAAGGGATATTTGTCCCAAAAAGCACATAAGTTAAAAGACACGCAACATCTTGGTAGATAGCGACACCTCCCATCCAGCTTTATGGTTATCTTCTAGTAGCAAGTACTTTATTAATCCCCCTCAAGGAAATGTCTTTATCGTGAAAACATTACAAGCCGTGCATGCAAAATAAACGGCACAGATATTTAGAAACCTGACTGCGAGTTGAGCAAACAATCTGCTCTGAATATGAATTTGCTCCACCTTTGAACATTACGTTTTATTAGTTGCCAGATTAGCTGCTCAAACGACGGGAACCAGCTCTATTAAGCAGGTAAACACATGGAAATTACCTTCCATTTATTGTTTTAACACTGAAGTATGAAGGTCATCAAATTCATTAAGGAGCAGAGAAATAAACGTGACTGATGTACAACAACATTTTCTATTGTTGTTTTATTGGGTATGAAAGTGGAGGTTTTTGTTTTACATGAAGCAAAGTAGAAGCAATATGACACTTAAGTAGTCCACAGACAGTTCAGGCTTAAAGATGTTGCCCAATATCATATATTTTTATAATAAAATGAGAATAATAATTGATGGTATATGTCCTTCCAAGAAAAAGGATATAGTTAGAATCATGAACACAGGGATATGAATCCTGGTC